TCAGCACGTCGCATCAGGACTCACAATTTCCACCTGTCTTCCCTTCCCCTTCATGCCCCCGCTGGTGACATGTCACTGGGTCATGTTGGTGTCTGCCCATGTTCCCCACCAGAAAGTCCCCATTTTTGCCTTTGTGATTGATGAGTATCTTGTAGAAGGTATTCCAGTATTATTCCTCATCAAACCTCCACCTATGATCTTTAGCCTCCACTGATAACTCACTCCTGCACTACGATGATTGCTAAATGGTGATTTTCTATTTCCATCACTCTAGTTATTTATTTTCCATGCATTGATAACTTGTTCATTCATCTATATCAGTATGGACTCATGGGTTCCTATTTGACTCCCTAGGTTATAATCTGCCAATATCATCCTTCATTTTGCTGCTCAAATAGTCCCATATTTAATCAGTGGGAGCCCCTCAAGTTGCCTCCTGTGTCCTTCGACATCATGTGATTCTTTGAGCATTTTCTTACTTTCTAGCACAACAAAATATTCCAGGCTCAGCTTGTACTTTCACACTCCAGCCCTGAAGTCAGCTATTTCTCTGAAGAGCTCTGGTTCCTTTAATTAGAGAATGGTATTTAGAAGCCAAGATCTAAGAGCTACTTGTGCTTATTGATACTCGGGTACTGAGAGCTTCCGGATGCTCTCAGCAGACAGAAATAGAAACTATATAAAATAACACATATGCAAATAGATATACATCTATAACTTTTTATGTCTATCTGTGCATATATATCAAAACACACGACTTCACACAGCTCCAAGTCCAATCCAACACCTCAGCGTTCTTTCTGGCCTCCCCCTTTCCATGCTTGTAGGATGTCCAACAGTGACATCGACATCTTATGTGTATGTAAAATGAAGAAAGTTCATCTCATGGCTTTCACTATCCTCAATATACGTGTCTACTTGCTGGACAACCAGGCTGACTAGTCTGTCCACCACCTCAGGTAGGCCTGCCACAGCCTCCTCCGTGCCAGGGAGGGAAGGTCTCTGGGGAACTTTTAAAGAGGGCAGGATTAAAGGGCTATCAGTCAATTAAGAGATTTCTGTAGTAATCTGGGTCAGCAAGAAAGGACCAAGCTTTTTCCGATTTTTCTGCTCGGGTAAAGAATGGTTCTGTCACAAAGGAGCATCTCAGAAACACAGGAATAGGAGTCTTGGTGAGTTTGAGCAAAATGAATGCCAGCTATAGCACGAAAGGAAGAGGCAGTGTGCTCCCATCCTCTACAATGAAACCTGTGTAGGATGGGGGGACAGGCAGAGGTGGAAAAGGTGGGCGGGAGAGTGGATAAGGCCCAGACCTAGGCAGGGGCATCTAAAACAGAGCAGAGAGGATCGAACTTAAACAGAAGGCAGCACTTTGTTTCCTGAAACTGGAAAGGATGAGTGCAGTGGCTAAAACTTTATAGTTTTGTGCTAGAACCTTCCCAATGATGCTCTTCTTTCCTCTGAGAAAGCAGGGCCTTTCACTGAAGAAGTGTCTGCACAGAAGGTAAGGAAAGAAATAATATGAACAGGTCACAGGAGACTGAGGGGTATAAAGAGTGGAATGCTAGCAAAAGCCTCAGAACCGAGCTGGGCCTGTTACCAGACTCGGTGCAGAACGAGATCCGTTCAGCCTCGCTGGTATGATTAAATACAGGTGAGTGGCCAGAGGTTCAGCGGGGTCAGGAAGGCAGCTGAGGCCAGGAGTTGATTGGTGTACAACGTGGACACTTGTCTTCAGTATCTTCTACGTCCCTAGGCCCCCAGGTCAAATGCTTTATCACAGTTGTGCAGGACTTTTTATGTGGCTTTGAAACCGAGCACAAAGAGGTTAAAAAATCTTCCCTGGGCTAGAAGAGAGCAAAAACTTTGAGATAAGCTTTGCTAACTGCAGCTGTGCATATTCAGCATAATCAACTGTTGTTCAAAACTAACCAGGTCTTTCAGTCCCTCCTTAGTATATGCGTGAGCTGTCTTTCCCAGGAAGTCAAGCTCCAGACATCAAGATTCAGCCTCAGAAGGCCAAATGCAGGCTGAAGATGAAAACTAACCAGAAAAATCCAGTCAAGGGAAAGAAATTCAGTCTTTAAGGCCAAACGCAGGCTGGTGGGAAGGTGCCAACCAGCAAGGCCACGTGCTCCCCCTCCCTTACCTAAAACCCCAGCACATGCTCTCCGTCTAAACCTTCAAAACCCCTTGCCTCCCATCTTTCGGGGAGATGGGACAAATTTGAGGGCTCACTCTCATCTCCTGGCTGACGTCACCCGAAATAAAAATGCTTTCCTTGCCATAAGCCTAGCGTTCCAGTTTTTATTTGGCCCCTCTTGTGTGGCGGGTAAAGAACCGTGTATGTGTCCGGTAACAGCTGGTGTTCACCCCACTCTTTATCCACAGGATGTGATTCTACAACTCTTTAGAGGGAAAACCACAAGACAGAAAGCCTCATGCTCCTTCCTATGTTAACAAGGCAATTACTTCTTTTGAGGTTGTAACTTCGTCTTTAATGAGAGGTGGCATTAGAGCATTAAGCTTTTGCATAGGAAAAAGGTTGAGACTCACCATTTTATGTATTTCTGACTTACATAATGTAATTTGGTGAAGAGCAAGAAAGGAAAAACCACTTCCTTCCCTTGCTTGAGGTTTAGAGCCCTTGCCCGAAGTTTTGAGTCTTCTAGCCCCTAGAGCAATGTTTTCATATGAGGTATATATTTGGTATCTCCATAGCCACACACACATATATGCATACATAATTATAGACTCACAGATGAAGGGACAAGATAGGTGTGGTTTATGCATCCAGTACCTGCTGCACCAGGCACTGTGCTAGCCTGAGGATATGCAGACAGACATAATAAATATGGTTCTTGCCCTCATGGAACTTAAAGCTTAGTTGAATTACTAATGATACTTTGGCAAAGTTACCAATGCACGCAAATGCTCCTCCCACCCAAAAAGTTCATCTTAGCAGCAAGTCTTTTATTCATTCCGTCTAACAGGGCTATGATTACAGTTTAGACTTTAGTTGGCAGTCCTCTTCATCTTACAGGCTTTTGCCCTCCTACATGCACAGCAAAGTGGTCTGTGGGATATCACTGTTTCGTCCTGAAGACGCCAGGCTTTGTCCCTGCAGCTACTACATACTTATCATTATTCCAGAATCCCTGCAGGATGGCAGGGAAGAACTCATGTGACATGAAGAACACATGTCAACCATAACCTTAAAACTGTGTAAGCGTGCTATATTTCTCTCCAGTAGTCCCTGCCCTTCCTAAAGGTGATCATTCAAGGCTGCCAGTAATATAAAGATTTGAAGGGCGAGTGAGAGAGGGGAAAAAACAAGCCTTATTGTTATAAACTGAGTTAAAATTTCCTTGGAACTCACTGAGTATGATCAAAAGCACAGGGGGGCCGGCTGGGTGGTGGTGGTGTTAAGTTCTCACGTTCCACTTCTGAAGCCCGGGGTTCACCAGTTCAGATCCTGGGCCTGAACCTACTCACCGCTCATCAAGCCATGATGATGTGGCATCCCATAGAGAAGAGCTACAACTTTACAACTAACGTATACAACTGGGGCTTCGGGGAGAAAAAAGAAGAAATAAGAGGAAGATTGGCAACAGATGTTAGCGTAGAGCCAATCTTCCTCAAAAAGTAAAATAAAAGCACTTAGGAATTACCCTGATTGAGTTTACTAAAAATAAAGTGATCAAGAGCCGTCGTCCTTCTCAGACATCACATGCAGGGTCTAAACTCGTTGTGTAGCATCCTGCTTAGGGGGACGGGTGCTGGATTCCCAGCTTTCCTGCTTGAGTGTCACCTCGGGAACGTTGAGATGAAATTTCTTCATTTTATATACACAAAAAGAAGACCTACCCTGCTGTGTTTTTCACATCTCTAAGACAGTTGAGAGATTTCCAAGTGGCCATCAGCATGACTAGAACGGTAACTTCTTTACGGCACTGCACTTTCAGAACCACTCACGAGAGAGTCAGGGTGTTTTAACATCGTAAAAGTAGTCATGCGCCGCACAATGACGACTCGGTTAACGACTGGCGGCAGAGACCACGGTGCTCCCGTGAGCAGCACTACAGCCTAGGTGTGTAGGCTGGACCACCCAGGTGTGTGTGAGGTTCACACAACCACGAGATCGCCTAATAGCATTTCTCAGAACGTGTCCCTGTAGTCATTAAACGACGCCTGACAGCCTATCAAACAGTGACGTCCCACAACTTCGCAAGAGTAACGCACGCCGAGCGTGCACCTCCCCTTCCACGGGAGCCCTCGGGCCACCGCGCGCCCAGAAGGTGGCGCGAGCAGAGCCCCACCTCCCGGGGCCCCGCCCACATGCCGCGGCAGACGCACCCGTCGCCCGAGGCCCACGGGCGTGACACGCAGCAGTCCCCATGCCCGGCCGCACTCTGCAGCCAGAACCACCCACACACGCCGCCGCAGGGCACGCCCCTTCTCGCTTCACACCCCCACGGCCCGCCGGCGGACAGAGCCCGCCCCGCGCCGTGACGTAGCGCGCAGGCCCCGCCCGCCCCCTAAGAAGACAAGCCCCAGGCCTAGGGCTGCGCCCGCCCTGCCGCTTCAGTGACGCCCCACCCACCCCGCGCGATGACGCCACACGCCAGCCCCACCAACCCCCTGAGAGGAGTGCCCCAGGCCCAGGGCCACGACAGCTCTCCCCGCGTGATGACGCTACACGGCGGCCCCGCCCACTTGCGCCTCACGTGGCGCCCCGCCCGGGCCGCGCGGAGTCCTCACATGCCGGCCCCGCCCATACCCCCTGGTGACGCGCCGCAGAGCCGCGCCCGTCCGCCCCGAGTGATGGCGCTCACACTGGCCCCGCCCACCCCCACGTTGACGTAAGCAAGCCGTCCCCGTCCACCCCGCGCTGTGACGTGCGCCAGGCCCAGGGCTGCGCCGGGTCGCCGCAGTGGCGCGCGCCCTCCTGACCACCCGCAACGCCCTACCCGCCCTGCGTGCTGACGTCACACGCCGCCCGCGGGCGGAAGCGCGGGCGGGCCGTAGCGGCGGCGCCGTCCCCTCAGAGGGGCGGTGGCGCGCGGGCTGAGGGCTGAGGCTCCTCGGCCGGGACGGGAGGCGAGCGCTAGGCTGCTGCGCGATGAGCGGCGCCCAGGACCGGGGCCCCGAGGCCGGCGCTGGGCGCGCCGAGCCCCCGGGCCGGGCGCTGAGCGTGGACGTGGCGGGGCTGCTGGCGCAGTTGGCGCGCAGCTTCGCGCTGCTGCTGCCGGTGTACGCGCTCGGCTACCTGGGCCTGAGCTTCAGCTGGGTGCTGCTGGCCCTCGGGCTGCTCGTGTGGTGCCGGCGGAGCCGCGGCCTCAAGGCCACCCGCCTGTGCCGCGCGCTGGCGCTGCTGGAGGACGAGGAGCGCGCCGTGCGCCTGGGCGTGCGCGCCTGCGACCTGCCGGCCTGGGTGAGTGGGGCCTCGCGCGGACCCGCCGCCCCGGTCAGGCGTCTCTGTCCGCCACGGCCCGTGCCCCGCCCCGGTCAGGCGTCCTTGTCCGCCACGGCCCGTGCCCCGCCCCGGTCAGGCGTCCTTGTCCGCCACGGCCCGTGACCCGCCCCGCTCAGGGGTCCCTGTCCCCCACGGTACGTGCCCCGCCTGCCTGCCCCGCTCAGGTCCCTGTCCCCCACGGCCGGTACCCTGCCGGGTCAGGGGTCCCTGTCCGCCACGGCCATGCCCCGCCCCGGTCAGGGGTCCCTGTCCCCCACGGCCCGTGCCCCGCCCCGGTCAGGGGTCCCTGTCCGCCACGGCCCGTGCCCCGCCCCGGTCAGGGGTCCCTGTCCCCCACGGCCCGTGCCCCCGACCCGGTCAGGGGTCCTTGTCCGCCACGGCCATGCCCCGCCCCGCCTGCCTGCCCCGGTCAGGGGTGCTTGTCCGCCACGGCCCGTGCCCCGCCCCGGTCAGGGGTCCCCGCCCGCCTCGGGCCTCCCCCGCCCAAGTCAGATGTCCGCACCGCCGTCGGTGTCCCCAGCCCACTGTGCCTCCCTCTCCAGGCCGGGGTCCGCGGGGCTGTCATCGCCTCCTCGGCCCACCCGCCCACGGTGGGGTGTCCTGACCGCCAGGAGCCTCCCGGCACCCGCCTGGGTGGACCCCGGAGCGGGTTCTGACCTAAGTCAGGTGTCCTCGCTTCTGCCGCCCCCGCCCCGTCCCGAGCGGAACCCCCGGTGGGCTGCGCGTGGGCGCCCGGGCGTCTCCCTCTGGCGGGGAGGTGCCTCCCGCCTCTGGAGTGCGCCGAGGGGGACGGCGGGGCTCGCGGAGCCGCCGCCCGCCCGGCCCCGCCCCGCCGGGGGAGTGCGGTGCGGTGACAGTGACAGCGGCGGGGGCACGCTCGGTCCCTCTTCCCCGAGGAGACGCGGCCGTCTCTTGGCCGCTCCTGACGCGGTTGAGGAGCAGTGGGGGCCCCCAAAAGATGTGCTGGTGTCAGCAGGGTTGACAGTTTGCCTCTCGTGTTTCTTTCAGAAGTGGCGTTCTAAGACGGAGCCGCTTCACGTGGGGTGGACTGAATCCCGGTGGTTGGGGCAGGAGGTTGTGCGAGTTCCGCTAATAGGAAGAGTCTGGTGTTGACTGTTTTGCCTCTACCCAGGCAGTTAGTTCCCGGCATGAGTTATGGAGCGTGGGCGCGCCCGCGGTTGGCGCCCTCGTCCTGTCCTTTCTACCGGTGCTGGGCGGCACGTATTACAGGAAGTGGAGCCCGTGTTGAGGGAATGGTGCTCACGTCGGCCCGGGGTCCGCCTCTGGGAAGGGCCGGCCAGTGAGCCTCGGAAGGGCGTTTCTCTGAGAGGAGCGGGGCTTGGAGAGGGATCTGTTTCCGGTCCTGAGACCCGGTGAAGTCGGGCTGGAGCGAGCGCCCCGGAGGCGGGCGAAGGCAGGCGGGACGCGGCGCCCGGTGACGGCCGGCGGGCTGGCGGGGAGAGCTGAGGGTCGCGCCCTCGGGCGGCGAGCCGGGCGGCGCGCGCTGGCCGCGGGCGCGGCGGTGTTGTGGAGAGTCAGGGCAGCCGGCGCCGGTGGCTCCTAGAGGCAGGAGGCCGGGTGGGCAGGGCGGGAAGAGCCAGCAGAGGTGCGCTCTGGAGATGCAGGACTCTCGTCCGCGGTACCCCAAGTTACACGAGGCCCGAAAGGAACGAGGAACAGTAGGCGCGTTACCAGAAGAGCAGGCGGGAATCGGTGGTGCTGACTCCCGTCGATATTTGGTTATCCAGCAGTTGGCTAATACCCGATTTGCTTGTAAAAATTCTTGTGTAATGCACACTGTTTTGTTTTGTTTTTGTGAGGAAGATCAGCCCTGAGCTAACATCTCCCAATCCTCCTCCCTTTGCTGAGGAAGACCAGCCCTGGGCTAACATCCATGCCCATCTTCCTCCACCCTACATGGGACGCCGCCGCAGCAAGGCCTGCCAAGCGGTGCGTGGGTGCGCCCCTGGATCCGAACCGGTGAACCCTGGGCTGCCGCAGCGGAGCGCACGCACCTAACCGCTTGCGCCACGGGCCGCCCCTGCACACTGTTTTAACGTAGTAAGTTAACAAACATAGTTGCTACCATGCTGAGGGACAAGACAAATTCTTTTTATTTTATTTTTTTTAGAGGAATAGAAAAGGTGATTAGCCAAAGATTCTTTTCTTGGGTTTTTCCTCCGTGTGACTTAAACTGATGAACCATCAGTTCATCTCATGGAGTAAGGTTTTTGTATTTTCTTCAGAAATTTTCACTTGCTTATTCTAAATTTGTATTTGTGTTCACATCACACATATATACTTAAACATGCCTGCCTTACTTAGAAAACTTCTGAAGGATTCACATGAAACTTGATAGTGGTGGTATCCAAGAAAAGCACTAAGAGTCTGGAGTTTGAGGGAAATTTTTTTTATATATCTCTTTTTATTGTAATAACCTTGTGTTATTTTCATAATAGAAATTTACACTGTCTAGAAGTGTGCTTGCTATTCTGCTGTAGCCAGGGAGCAAATCAATAACAGAAGCCATGCATTGGAAAAGTTAAGATTTCTCTGTTAGTAGTACTTCGATTTTTACTGTACATACTTAGGTTCTTGCGGTTCTGAACTTTGGGCTGGTGTTTTGCTTTGAACAAGATATATTTGTACACATTTTCATAGTGTCATTGACAACTGTGATTCATAGCAGGGTGGAAGCATAGGAAAACATGAACTAATGTGGTACTCCTTAACCCCACTTTTGGATATGTTCCCTGACAATTTTTCTTCTTTTTATTTAGTACAGTAAAAATTTGTACTGGATATGGAAAATGAGATAGTTAAAGAATATTAATACTTTGATAAAAAATATATACTGTTTCGAATTAAGGCTAGTACGATATGAAAAATGGCTCTCACTTAACGTGGTAATTTTGTAAGACTTTGGTTCTACAGCTTTAATGTAAGTGCGTTATTTTTCACTTTTCACTGTTTTTTTCCCATAAATAGAGGAAAAGCCTGGCAGGTTTGGGTTGATGGAGTGAGGACTGGCCTTTTTGTTGTACCAGTGTTGACCTGTGTTAATTGTCTGCCCCTGTAAAATTAGACTATGGGTGAAGAATATTCTTGAAGAGTTTTTGTAGAGATGAATAAGGACAATTTTCCACTGCTATTTTCATTTACTTGAAAGCTTAGAAGTTTTGAGGGTGAAATCTGCCTTTTTCCTGCTTTTACTACTGCCGGTAAATGCTGATTCTATGGCTGCAGAGAAGTTGAGACCCAAACCTGTTGTGTACAGTATTACTCAACTTTTTTGACAGTTGGTCTTTTATTACTCTAATACTTTGATGATTGAGATTTAAAGCATAGTCACTATAGTGTACAAGCTTTTCTTTGGGGAGAGCTTTCTTCCATAGTTCTTCTGGGAAGTTCAGGAGAATTTAACTCTAGCCAAAGTTTAATATGTTTAGGCTAAGAACCAAATGAGCAAAAGAAAACAGAACACTATGGTCTCATGTAAAAGATGGGTAAATATTTGCTTTTATTCTCAGTGTTAATTATTGAGTTATACTTTAATGAAATTTTGTGAAAACTTGTAACAGAAAATAGTTGGTGTAGCTAAATCAGGAATCACAGTTCAGCTGTTTTAAACTGTAATTGCACCTTTAGCATTTCCATCCTAGAGAGATTATGTGCTTTGAGAAAATGTTAGAGTCTCCTCATAGCTGTGAAAGGGATATGGATGCTGCTTTGGGTTTCTTGTTTATACCCACGCTTCTGCTCTGCAGTAGTTCAAAGAGGAAAAGGACTGTGAGCATTGCATTGCTCTGTCTTATGTGATCTAAGTGCTTTGTTAAGTTAGACCAGCACGCCCTAAAGTTGCTAGACATAAAGCAGTAAATATCTGTTTTTTAGTTTAAACTAAAAACTGAATTTAAATTTAGAATATATGCATCCATCAGCTTGTTTGCTCTGGTTTTAGTGATCTTCTGTTTCAGATGAATGTTAGGCTCACTTTACATTTCAAGATGGGAGAATATAGAGCTAGGACTGAACTGTAAATCATTTAAGTAAATACATGAATTGAAAATAATATGTAATAAACTTATATTTAATTAGTGTGTTATATTAAATTATGTTATATATATAGATCTCAATCCTGTAAAGAACCAATTATCAAAAACTAACTAGTAATTTAGTGTTCTCATTAGGCCTAGTGAACCTTTTATTTTTTCTGTAGGTTTTCGTGACTTCTGCACTGGTTGCAACATTTAATCTTGAATAATATCACGGACATTGTGAATATACTAAAAAATGTTGAATTGTACGCTTCAAATTATATGGTCTATGTGAATTATATCTCAGTAGTGCTATTAAAAAATATTATAGACATTGAATTTCTTTTAAAAATAAGTGAAAAAGGCAATCAGTTATAGTACAAAGTAAGCTGTATGTACCTCTTTGCTTATAGAATTCCAGCTAAAACTGTTAGAACTTTTTAAAATTATTGTTTCAACTTAAATTTGGAGTCATTTACATTTTAAAGAATATTTAGTGAAAGGGGTGGGCTTATGAATGAAAATAGCAGGTAAATGTTTTTACCTTAAACCTAATGTTACTTTAAACGTTGATACTATATTGGCTAAACAAACATTCTAATTGAATAACAATAGAAATCATGCTTCAGAGATATAAACAGCCTAAATGTATGTTATTCTGTAAATTATTCTAAGCTCTTACCTTTGAGTCAGGGTGTCGACACATAATTATCATCTATGTTTGACAAATTCAGCCTATAGATTGGTTTGTTTTATATTAGATACATTCTATCATGACATGATTTTAGAATGTGCTATTTGTGGTCTTTTGCATTTTATTATGTTAAATCGTTACCTTTTTAGTTTCCATGACAAGGCTGCCTCAGATGAATTTTCCTCCTCCATTTAAAGATCTGAGGACCCACTGTATGCAGAAGTGTA